AATTATTTATTTGGAATTATTGTACTCGCAATTGCTAAAATTGTATAATTTTTTTAATTTCAGTTAAAGGTTCATGTGGTGATACAGCTGCCCAAAATTGCAGCTACTTCGAAAGTCCAAATTACCCGGATTATTATCCCTCTGGGGGAGGAGTAATTGTCCCCACTACCTTAGCACCTCCTACTACTGCAAATCCCTCGCCAACTCCAGATCCAAGATTGTCATGGATGTTTTACAACAACAATAATAATAATGATAATGTTTATGATAATGATTATAATACGTATGATGTGGACTTGGCCAGGCAGAGTACTGATGGGGCTCTGTCTTGTATTTTTAGCGTCTATAAAGTTAGCGGCTATGTCACAAAGATGAAGATAGATTTTTTGGATTTTGAGGTAAAGTTTTTCTTTTCGAATTCACTGGAGGACTTTTATTTTCCAAGTCAAATCGTTAGCAATTATATGAAAGCATAAAATAATGTTTATTAAGAATAATAATTTCAGTTGGCAGGACCTACAAACGGAACATGTCTAGTAGAAAGGCTGGTCATAACGGGACAAAGCGCAAATAGTATAGTACCTGCTATTTGTGGTTATAACACAGGACAATCTAGTAAGTAGTTTTACTCCTTTACAAATAATCTTATCTTACTAATATATCAATGCGAAAGTTTGGATGGATGTATGTTTGTTGTCACGCAAGAACGGCTGAACGGACCTGCATCGGCGTAGCTAGTCTCAGTTTTAGGGGGGGGGTGCCCCAGGTATACGTTGATTTAAAATATATATTTTTTTAAATTGCGGTGCAATGAATGGTAAAAAATACGCTATAATAGTGAATAGTGGTTTTAATATTTCAATATAATTAATACATTTAATAACTTATAAACATAACGATTAATATTAAAAGCACTGATTATCTACAACAGAAGTTTTCTACGCTATTGACTGAAAAAATCTACAACACTGTCCAAGTCGATATCAACATCTTTTTCTATGAACAACAAAGACAAATCTGAATGTCTGTCTTGAGTCATGGTCGTTCTCAACCAATTAAAAATCCTCCTCATGGCAGAAAATTACCTCTCGCATGTCGCACTTGAAATAGGTAGAATAATCGCAACTTTAAAAAGTTGATAGACGTTTTGGTATGTTTTTTCTGATTCTGTTATGTGTTTTTTGATAGAATAATAACCAACAGTTTCTTTAAATTGAAGAATGCAGTTTTTTAAAACGGTAATTTCTGCCCTTTAGACAGAAGTGTTAATATTTAAAATTTCACGGTATTGCTCAATAAATTCCGCTGAACCCTCAAAATCTAACTAAAAAAAATTATTCACAGAATTGGCAAGCACCATACTTTCTGATGAGAACCTTTTGTTTAGAAACCCTTTTACAGTATCTATATTTCGATAGAAAATGTTTGCCCATCAATACTCAAATACTCCGATATTAGCTCTAGAGCTTTTGGTGTCTATCAAACCTAGTCCTACAGTTGTTTCGGTAACGAAATCAGCGAGCTTGGTTTTTTCGTTTTGATGAGGGAATTTCCAATGAAATGTTTAGATGAAGGTCAAGTATAGTATTTTTCGTTTCTCATTTCATCCAAAAACTTGGTTCCTCGTCATATTTATCTTCTAGAGTGTTTAACATACTTCCCACTGAAATCACTAAAACTATGACTTGTTCATTTTTCTAAAACACTGACTAATCCATGTACCTATAAATAGGTAAACTTAAACTTAGCCAAAGCTTACTTTAGCGGTTTTTTCCATTTTATTATTATTAATACTACCTATTTGTATATTTTTTATATTGTATTTTTGATACATATTGTTATTTTTACTAATAAACTTATTATTATATTGTTATCTCACAATGATTAAAATTTGGAGTAGGTAGGTCTTCTTTAAATCAAATTATGATTTCAGTTTATGTCGACGTTTCTCAATCTTCAGGCCCCATCAACCTGATGGTTCTATCTACAATGACATACAAAAAGCGATTTAGAATAAGAATTTGTCAATATTCAGACATTTGTGTTCCAGATAATTGCTTACAGATATATGAAGGAGTTACAGGAACGATATCGTCGTTTAATTACGACCAAGCATCTATGCTAAACAGGAGCGTACCGGGTTATTTTGTAAGTTCAACAAATTTTCATAAAAGTATCTATTGATTAAGAAACCTGAATTATTTATGCTTTCTCTTTAGAGATATATTTAAATAATCTTGAATGTGAATAAAAAATACGTATGTTTTGCAAGATAATTTTTGAATAAATCAAAAGTAATTATTGCTAGTAAAGTCGGCGCAAACCAAATGTGAACGCTCTTTGGTTGTTATGAGATTTTTTACTGAAATTATTTCTTGTAAGTCTGTATTTGGCCAGTGGTGGTACAAAAAGAGGGGAAAATATTCAGAACAAAATTATATTACTTTTAATAGGGCCGTTTTTTCGAAAAAACAGTTTATTTATTACCAAATTACATCTAGTCATATAAAACTACAAAAAGCGTGTATTTATTTTAATCAAAGGTCAAAGCAAAATTAAATTAAATTAACATTTGAACACATAAAACTATAAAAAACATTTATTACAAGAGATAATCACAAAGGCTATAGCAAAATAGGACGAAAATTGGTCTTTAAGTGAAACTGGATGCTGAATTAAATGTCAGTAAAAGTTGAATATTTTACGTTAAGAAACGCCAGCAAGAACAACAGATTGCGAAAACCTTTCAGATAAGGCGCAGGGAAGATCTCTAATGAATATGAAGAACATTCTCTCCAGCTATATCAAGAATTGTTATTAATATTTTATTGCACATTGGCTGTCACAACACTTTCCAATTTTGTTGGAATGGGCAAAATGAAATATCGCATGTCGTACGTATCTACGAGCTCTTCCCAAGTATTTTCAATAACTTCCCATAGTTGAGCGCGGTTTGCCGGCCTAAAGTCTCTGTAATATACCTTTTTGACTACAAAGCCTCATACATTTTCAATGGGGTTCAAGTCAGGACTTTTTGATGGTCATGGCAAAAGATTTATGTTGTTGACACACTCTCTTACTATTTAAGTCGTATGAACTGGAGAATTACGTATCCTGTAATAAAAATAAATTTTTATAAACATTTACGAGTACAACAAAAACTGATTTCTTACATGTTGAAAGGTAAAATTGCAAGAGAAAATTTCTCTTACTGATCGTAACATCATGTTGCCTAAGAAGCTTTCGTTATGCTAGACTGTTAATCGCTCATCAATTTGCCAGCACATTCGAGGGCTGTTAACGCGTATCCACGAACAAACTATTGACTGAAAAGCGCCCAGTATTAGTGGTACCCAACTTATAATTCTCTTCGAATCTTGAGTTTCTAGGACGATAAACTTGTAGTCTTTCGCTGTAAGATTTTTTTATGGGAGAATTTCACGTTGTTTCAAAATTCCTTCTCGTAAATTAAAAATTTATTTGCAAACTGGACTGCGCTTATTTTCTTTATTTAAAAAAACTTTGCGGGCAGCTGCGCAGTTTTTTAAGCCAGCTTGTTTCATACGTATTTGAGCTGTTCTGAGAGATCTTGGGAATGTTTCTTCTCGTGCTTTTATAGCGGTTTCAAAAGAATATTGACGAATATATTCCATGAGAGCATTGTCTTCATTTTCGTTAAAGACTAGCGACCTTCCCTACACCTTGTCTGAAAGTCTTCCCAATCATTTGTTCTTCTTGTCAGCTTTTCTTAATGTTATGCAACTTTTACTGACATTTAATTCAGCAGCCACCTTACTTAAAGACCAGTTTTCTTTCAATTTTACTGTAGCCCTCGACTTTTAAGCCTCAGTTAAATGGTGCGGCTTTTTTGAAAAATTATTTTACAATTAATTTTAAGAGCTGTCTTTGATGTCTATGATGCAAAGTCTAATTCACACCATTAAATTTTGTCGTTCACATTTCGGTTTCAATCAACGTGAATACTAAAAATGCATTGTTTGACAATATTTTTTATATTTCTAGAATAATTTGAATTATGCAATATGCATTCGAAGAACACCTGGATATTGTTCAATTACCTATACAAATGTTCTAAATGGCGTGGAATACCCTTTCAATTTGGTAAACTTCATAAGTACGTAATTATTAGAAATTATTATTTCATTTATGTAACAAAGTTAGTGTATATAGAAGGTGTTACGGACTAGAGCCAAGTTTTAGTCCGATCGTGACTGTTTTTAGTGGTTTTCTGCTTTTGTAATTAACAATGAAACATTATGAGACTCGTAGGTTCATCTTGTTAGGAAGAAGACTCAAAAAGGTTTAATACTGACTTAAATATTGCCATTCGAGTCCTTAAAAATAGGATAAATCTTAGTTAATTTTTTCAGCACGTTATTTTATTTAAATATTCTTGTAGCCTAGGTTTAATGGCTTTTATTTCAATATTTCGTATTTAAAGTTGGATTGTCAAAGTCAAAATTACAAGTTTGAAATAGAAATTCCACATAGTTTACCAATACTTGGCAATACATTGTTTTGCAGACATAAAATCCCGTTTTATCATTAATCATTTGTCATTTTACAAATTTTACTGTTCTTTTGAGACAATCTTTAGAAAAGCGTTTTCTTATTTTGAATCACTCGTTTTCTATAATCTCCTACAGAAACGTCAAACTTATATTGGATATAAGGTATTAATTCACTGCAACATAAAAGGTCTATTGTGTCCCCTTCTGTCAAACTTAGACTCATCACTGAAAATAACTTTTGTACATTTTCGTCCAAGGTCCATTTTTTTTGGATTTTGTCCAATTTAAGCAGTTTATTTTCTGAGCTGAAGTCATTAGAGTTTCTTCCTTGGGCTAATAAATAAGTTACTGGTAATTAATTCAAATACTCATTCACTAATGTATATTGGTCTTATAAAATCCAAGTTCAGTTTTATGTATATATTTCCAACAACACTCTCTAGACACTAAAATTGTTAGATTCATTCTATGAGGCAGTGATTTCTCTTAAAGTGCTATTCTTCGGTGTCACATTTTTGCCAAACCTCTTTCACATCTTTCTGTTATAATTTTGGGTCTATCAGTACTTTTACCCTTAATGTTAGTAAATCCCGTTAAGCCATAATGTTTCCCGCTGAAGATTTGGCTATTTTCAGATCAATGGCTATTCTAATTATGAATTTTCTTTCACTATTATGATCAAAAATAATTTTGCATAATTTTTATAGTATAGGGACACCTTTCACAATTTAAAAAAAAATTGATTTTTTGACAACGCTGGGCATATGGCTAGTCTAAAATGATAAATTCTTGTTGATTCTTCATCCAGAGGATATTTTCCACAAAAAACCCGCTAGGGTACTATCCTAGCATTTATAGTTTACCCTCTAGAGCGTTCTGAAGAGCGGCATGTCTTGTTGTTGAATGATTCGCTCCCATGTATTGCTTTGCTTTCATTTCTCGAGCGCTATGAGCCGAACAGATAATCGTGGAAACATTTTTCAAAAACAACATTATATCTACCTAATATTTATTTGTTCCAGTAGATAACTTGACAATTAAGGGAATGGCGAGCGCTCAGAATTCACTAATATTTGTAAATTTCATAAAATTTGCATCTATTTTGTTACTTATAATTTTCCGATTAAAAAAAATACTTCCCAACAATAAATATATTTTTAATACAAATACTTTATGACTCAGACACGATTAAAGGCGCGCGGTCGTAGCGTAGATCAAGAAATTCGGAAAATTTAAAAGTTGTAGAGCGCTAAATTTTTGTGCGTATACCTAAATAAGTACTCTGCGAATTTAAATCAAATCGTATGCTAGCTCGCTTCGCTGATTATAAAAATTGATTCTAAAGAGTATGTGAATGTGGAAGAGGAGGACAACATTCTGCACACACTTAAGAAAGTTTCGAAAACATTGCAAGTCCATCAACATTGAATAAATAAAAGCATAAGTAATTTTTGGGATACTAAATATGGATTAAGCCTTCGTGGTGTGGAAACAAGTGTATTGTTGTGAGAACGCCTGAGCCGACTCTGTTCTTCGTTCAATAGCGCAACGTAAAGTCTGGTACCTGACTTATGGTCAAAACATTACCGGAATGTTCTAGGGGAAGCACTTCGCGAACGCATCGAGATTCTTCTAGCAGGATTGGTTCATTCTGGGCCGTTACATTTTTATATAAATAATCGCGATTTTGTCTATAGAAGTTAAGTTTTAATTTAAGTGTTGTATAGATTGTAATAAATAAATTAGAATTGTGAGTTATAATAGTACCTAAGTTTTAAATAAATGAATTAGTATGTTGTAAATAAATTATATATAAATTGTTTTTAATAAATAAACTAGTTTTGAATTAAACAACTGTTAAAAAAATGGTAGAGACGCTAATGGTTACTTACTTGTGAAATGACCTTGTCGATGCCTTTTCATATTTCTGTTTATAACTTACACAACTCTCATCATTGTTAAAATTTGTATCACTAAAGTAATAAAATACAAAAAATCACTTATAAACTACAAAAAAAGCTAGAAATTAATGAAAATCAAAAATCAAATGAAAATTCTGACAATTTGGAACGATTTAACATGCCAAGCAAAACGAAACAGACCAATGGGAATGCTGGACACTATTTTTCCCCTCTGTACCAAAACAAAGTCCATTTGTACGATGGCTCTAGTAATATATGTTAGAAGGTTAGAATCCTCAAATCGAAAATAAAATTAATGGCTCATACACTGTTTTAAGTTTTATTTAATTTTACAAACAAAAAAATCACATTTAAAAAAAATAAATAATAACTGGTGAGGATTGAACTCACGACCATCAGTTCAAAGAAAAACGAGCTAGGCTCTACACTAACAAGACATGTTAAATATGAGTTAAAAACAGTGTAATTTATTTTTAATATTTTAATTATCATTTAAATATTAAGGAAAATGAGTGGAGTATTAAACGTACAACTAAAAGATTCAGATTAGTCTACATTTTCTTCCAAAAATACCGATTAGCTTTATAATAACAACCTTTCTAATGAAATTTTCTAATGAAAATGGGCGTGGGCAAAAAGTAACTTTCCGCCTATATGCGGTAATAATGTCAAACTATGACAATTCATGGAAAACGCCAACTTTCCAGTTAGATTTGAATGTGCAAAAGCCTACTTTGGATAGTGATCGTAGAAAAATATTTTTTTAATCGTTTTTCAAGGGAACTTATAAGTTTAACAGAATAGGGGTAACTTTTATGAAATTTAGAACCATCAGTCGATTTTGAGTGCTCGCTATTCCATTAATTCAATCAAAAAACTATTATTGTAAAGTGTATTTATTAAAGTTAGTTTAAAAAAATGCGATTCAACCATCCGTTTGACCCATAGTACTCGCGAAATGAAAGCAGTGCAAAACATGGGAGCGTAGCATTCAAGAGGGTAAGCTAAAAATGCTATAAATATAAATGCGGAGTTTTTGTGACAAATATCCTCTAGATGATGAATGGATAATAATTGTTTATTTTAGCCTAGCAGTTTGCGCATCGTTTTCAAAAATCAATTTAGGGCTTTGACCAAAAAGTAAAATTTAGTGACATTAAAAAGTGTTAAAAAACAATGAGGATAGAAGTTCTTCAATTTTAGCTTACTTTTTTCTATGTTTCAGACGGTATGTCTACTGTACCTTCAAATATGGCGGGATCGGATATAATAGATTGTCCCAACGACTATATAGTTATTGACAGTACCAGACTTTGTGGTTACAAGTTTAACGATGGGTCAGTTACATCAAATTTGAGTCTGAATGCTGCAGTTACAGGTACATAAAAAATAGGTGACCCGTCATAATTCGCCCTGACAAAACCGCTCTGACGAAAACGCACCGACAATTGCGCTTCCAGATATAATCGCTAACTACATAATATGCGCCCCCAATATGTACACCCGATCAAATTTATGTTGGATGTAGATTTAACCTTTATGTCTGTTGCAATTTATAGTAGAAAATCGTCTCGCTTTACCCATGAAGGAAGGTTGTGTATTAGCCGGAACAGGAACGGTGCTCCCAAATGGACTTTAAAAATTTGTTTTCTGTTTGGGGACCAAACATGATAATATTAATATTTTGTAAGAATGTTTGTCAGATTATATTGTGCAATGAAAAAGGTTAATGACTATGAGGTATCGGAAAAAAAAATTGATGAATTGAAATTTAGTATTTGAAATCTTTCAATAATACTAAAGGTTTGATAAACAATTGTATTAATAATTTTTTTTTAAAAACGCTGAGACAAGTCGATTTCTATTTTCGTATTCGAAAAAACAGATTGTCTCAATAAAATTGTAATAAAAGTGAAAGTACCTAATAAAAGTGCAAGGTACCTGTAGGATTAAAACATTTAATTTACGGGTGTGCATTTTAACTAGCGGATTAAGGAAATAGGTAGTATTCGCAATATACCCAACTAAAGGTAAGATGTCGCGCACAGTGGACGGTCCTTAAGCAACGTCGCTCATAGCGACTGTGCTTACGTTGTGCTTTTAATCAATTGTAGAGTTGGGTATATCGTGCATATTTGGTTATGGAAGTACAGGATAGTAGTTTGGACTACCACCAGGACATAGACAGTACTCTTTTTAAAAAATGGTTTGAGAGTACATTACTACCAAAACTAAATGAAAATAGCGTAGTGTTAGATAATGCCCCGTAACATTATCGGTTGGTACGAAAAAAACCAAATACCAATTCTAAAAAATCAGGGATTCAGGACTTTCTGATGGAAAATGATATATTTTTTGAAGAAAACTACACAAAAAAGTAGTTAATAGAACTTTTACACTTGGTTGATTTTCAACCTGAATATGTTATCGACACCATTGCAATAAAACACGGCTTTAAAGGTTTACGTTTACCACCCTACCACTATATTTTGCAGTTCCCTAATGTTATTTTAATTTAAATCTGACCATTAGGGCAATTTTACCTAATTTCTTGGGAAGAGGCTTTTTGGAACTGGTTGTCAATGACTAATTTGCATAATTTTGTTAATCCGAAAGCCGCGTAAGTATAGCGAACAGACTATAGTTCGTTCAATAGTTCAGTTGAATATTTTAACAGAATGAGTGATGATTCGATGAGTGATACGAGAATGAGATATGAACTATATATAAAAACAAATAATTGACATTGACAAAAAATTATTTACCTAATAATTAAAACAATCTTTGAAAAATAGGCAAAAAAATATAACTAATGAAATTGGCAGTATCCTGAATTATTTACATTACAATTTACATATTGCTGTGCAAAAAAAAGGAAACTAGATACTCTTTCTGATTTTAACAGAGTTATTCTTTCGCCAAATATCTGCCCAGTATTAGAAAAAAGTCTCTCGCAAGGCACAGAGGTGGCAATAAACAAAATGAAAAGAAGGTCATACGATTCATAAAAAAACTGTGTATCTATAACGTTTTCGTTCGTTCGGTTCAACTGAACTAATAAACTATGGGATCGAGTCGTCCTGAACTAGTTCAATTAGTTCATTAAAGAGATATGCTTCTTTGAACTAGTTCGTTCGTGAACTACCCAAGCCTAGAACTTAGTTGTACGTAAGCTGGCTTTGTGAGTGGACGCTATGTTTTTAGTAGAGCGCTGTAATCGGTCTCCGATGCCTCACATTAGCGAATACGTGACGAAATCAATTTTTGGAAATTAAGGAGAACCACTCTGAAAATGAAAAAAAAAAAAAATGACAAAATGCATCCTGACGATCCTCGTTTTTCTGGTTGGGCTCGGAATCTTCTAGATGAGGATGATGAAAATGTTGAATTTATACATAGTGTGGACGATTTGGTTGGAAATGAGGATGTCGTGGAAGAGATTCATGAAGAAAATTCCGATGTGGTTTACTCTGACTATTCTCAAGTTACAAGGACACTGCAACATAAGACAGAGCAGATTTTTTAAAAATGTTAGCCACAAGTTTGTTGCTGACGCATTGGGAAAAAGGAATGGTAAATTTCAAATTACCTAGAGAACTGCGAATGACTTATTGCAAGATTATGTGGTAAAAACGACATTAGTGTAGTTGAAAATAGTCCTCAAGAGGACCGCCTTGAAAAAAAAAGCAACTTGCTATGTCTGTCCACCAAAGCTTAAACGGAAGACACAGTATGCCTGCTGTTCCTGCGAGAAACCCATTTGTCTTCAGTGTTCGAAAAAAATATGTTATGAGTGTGCTAGATTAACAAATGAGTAAATTTTAGAAACTTTTTTTTAATAAATTTTCATTTTTTGTTTGTTTAAATTTGATTGTTTTTAGTTAAAAATGATTTTTATACAAATGTTAAGCAGTAATACACTATGTTTTATTTTAAATATCAAAGTAATAAAAAAATAGGAGCCTGCCGGACCTCACGTTAGCGGTCATGTTTCGATTCGGCACGTTAGTGGTTAAAGGCTAATCTGTGTCAAAGTTGGGGCGCACATGTCGGGAAGAGCATATGTTGGGAGCGCATTTGACGGGATGCGCATTTGTCAGAAACTGCTTTTGTCGGGGCGCTTTTGTATCGGCGGTTTTGTCTGTGGAGCAATTGTCGGGTAACCAAAAAAATATGATATTATTAAGTTATTCTGAATAATTTAGGTAAAGTTATCAAAATTTTGGTGTTTTTCCTTTTTAGATAGAAATTTAGGTCCAATAGTCATTCCAGTAAGGACAAATGCAGCAGCTGTAGGATACGGATTTAAGTTATTTTATACACAGAACCGATGCAATACAAGTTGATCTCACCTGGATTATATTCTTAGCCATTATATAAACAATCGACGTGCTCAGATATATTTTTCAATCCAAGTTTTAATAGATAGATTTTTTAATAAATGTACAGAACTTGACAATATATCATTTTTAATCATTTATATGTATAATAATACCATATGACCGGTAATCTGAGTAATCATGTATATTTATTTTATTTGTATATTTATTTAAATTGTAATTGTAAATGTTACTCATAAACTTTATTATATTTAATAAATATTTTTGAAAAAATTCTTATTTTTTATGAACCCGCTGACTCATGGAATTTTTATTTTTAATTGATACGATCATTTATTTCAACTATAATTATGTGGATAATGTGAAAAACAATATAATTGAAATTTGGCCAAGTGCAAGTCCTACTTTCCGGTTCGTGCCGTACCTATGCCCAAAAACTTGCGTAGTCAGAAATTTGTCATAGAAGAGATTTTGATCAACAAAGGCAAATATTTACGCCCGTGAAGTTAGCACTTTAGTGTTTAGGATTTTTGAATATTGGGAAATTTGTAGTAAATTTGCTGTGAAAAAAAATTTATGGCTCACATCCTTTTCAAAATAACCCTTCGTAGTGCTGACTTCACGGTAAAGATGGCATTACACTATAATTTGTTGCTTATCCGTAGTATTTTTGTCGTAAATTTGTTGTGAAAAAAAAAAAAAAATTGTCGCTTATCGCCTTTTTAAAATAACCCCTAATAGGCATTCCAACGACCTGTCCAAATGGCTACCAGTGGGACCTGATAGTTTAGATATGGCAACCCTGTGGGCATGTTGTCATTGATAGGGTCAGTGATACATAAATAGTTATATAGATTGCTCAAAGCGGGTCGTTTGCGAGCGGCTATATTGCCTGGCAAGTGTTCATTAATTTGAATCCGTTTAGCAAAAATGTGTTTTAAAACCAATTTTCAACCTTTGAATATTTACAAAAATAATTGCCTACATTTTAGGTTTGTTCTGGTTCTCAAAATAAAAACGGTTTTGAGACTGCGCCGGACCGTGTGCGTAAAAGCAAAAAATCTCCGACTGTTTTAAATTGTTGGAAAACTAGAACGCATAAAGGTGTTTTGTTTATTTTTTATTATAATAATTCAGTTACTTTTGAAAGCTCAGCTTCAAATAACATTTGTGTGTATATGTTCATCATTATCATCCTCATCACATTTCAATGGAATAAAAAAAAAAACGGGAGAATAATATTAAAAAATACATAATTCTAAAATTGCCTCAATTTATTTGTCCACACATAAATAAACAATTTGGGATTGTATACGTTCTGTATGGTCTTAAAAGTTAATACAATATTCATACACTTCAAAAACGCATGCGCGGTCAAAACAGTCCGAGTCGATCCACACTCCGAAGCATGAACACATTTTGACTGTTTACAACAATCACGGATTATTTCGGATACGAAACCAGAACACTGAACTGAGAGATCCAAAGTAGTCCGATAAAAACCAGAACACTTTTTATCTACTGCGCATGAGCCTGACAGTCGTGGATCGTTATTTCTCAAAACCAGAACAAACCATTTTACTTCAAGGCATAAGCCTATTTTTATTTTTAAACCCATGGATGATCATTCTATATAACTATTTATATCATTAACCCTATCAAACCACCAGGCACACAGTGTTGCCATATTATAACCTATCATGTGCCTGTCAGTGGCCTGTCATTTTGTTTGGAATATCCTTAGAGCATAAGGTAATATCTAATTAATGCAAATTTTTCGGGAAAATTAACACTACCAATAACGAAAATGAGCATTAATTACATTTTTTTTATATGGATAATTTATCGCTCTTCTTGTAAAAAAATGTGTCGCTCATTCTCAGTGGCCGATTGTTTTCATGGATCAACCTCCATTTACCAGACAACTTAACTTTAATGTCCCTGTTTCAAACTGCTCCTTAATTTCTACTGTCTTTAACATTATAAAGAAAAATGTGTGTTTTTTTATAATAGTATATTACATACCGAGCGAGGAAGTACCTCTTCATGAGCTCTGCCTATTGTTAGGATTGCAGTATCATCTGAAAATGTAGCTCTTCTGTCTTGTTCTAGTTGGGGTATATGACAAGTGTTTAGCACGTACAAATTGGGAGCCAGGACGCTTACCTGTGATACTTCTGCTTTGATTTTTTTTTTAATTCAGAGTATGTTTCATCTTGTTTCACTATCTGAAATGTATGAGTTCAATTAGCTCTGAGTATGGCTGTAGAAATAGCACATTCAATTTATGTTTTAAGTCTCCATGACATACTTTATCAAAAGCCTGCGCGATATCAAGGAAGCAGACTTCTTTATAAATATTACAGATAAGATTGTTTTAATTGAAAAAAGTAAATAAAAATAAATAATTTTTTATAAAACGATATAAAAAAGTGAATAAAACAAATAAATAAAATTATATTCTGTAAAAAATCACAAAAAACAAAACTAGAATTCAGTTTAGTTATAGAATTTCTAGTCAATATTTAGCGAAAAAAAAATGCACTGATAAGTTTAAGTGTACCTAAGCATCAAACCTCACAGAGAGCAAGAGTGGCGATGTGTTTTACTTCTACTAGGGTCGGTCTTTTCACCTTCAATAAAGTGTTAGGTAATTTTTATCTTCCAAGTAACTTAAAAAGTAATCTTTTCACTTCTGGGTAAACCTAACTTCTGAATGATAAATTATCTTATTTATGAAATTTCTGATAAAATACTTCACTGATGGATAAACAGGTAGTTACATAACCACATAAGGTTAAAAACTACTGGATGCCTACCACACATATTATTTATTTGAAAAAACAGAAAATTAATTATCTGAGAGATAGTAACTCTCAGATAATATATCCGTCAGTTAGTTATCTGGAACTTTATCTGAAGGTGAAAAGACCGACCCTAAATAAATTTTTCCTACGGCTGCTTAGAATATACAGAGACAACCCGAATATACACAAAAACGCACTACCAACTTCCCTCGAAAAACGTCAAATTCAAACAGCGTGTGAAAAGTAAAATAATACAAAACTAATGAATCGAGATGAAATCTAGCATGCGGCTATTGTCACTACTGACAGTTCTCATTTAAATAAAGTCAAATTTATTGCAAATTTAGAGAAAAAGCAGTATGCGCTAGTTCAGTGATGATGTAATTATGGTTCCACTGACAATTAAAGTGACAGTAGATTTTTTGAATGCGTTTTGTTCGTTTTGTTTACCTAAATTATATCGTTTTTTCACTTTTATAGATATATTCCTAAAGTTAGTAGATAACATGCATCAAATATACAATCGTTTAGTTACCAATTACATACCTTTCAACTATTTTTTATGACCTGTAAACAATATTTAGAAATAAACTTAAAACAGTAAAAACGTATATGTCAAATTTATTGATGTTTTTGTTAAAAGTTTGGTTAGAATTAAATGTCAGTGGAACCAAAATGACATCACACTGAACTAGCGCATTACACTATGATAGAATATGAATTTAACTGCACTCCTCCAGAAATACTTGAAAGAGCCTCCCAAATCACGCAAAATCTTCTACCGTTAATTTCAAAAGAAAGATATGAAAGTTGTTGTGAAACATTTGTAAAATGGAAGAATGAACGAAACCTAAAATCGTTATCAGAGAATGTTCTGCTTGTTTATTTTGAAGAATTAGCGCAAAAATATAAATCCTCAACAATGTGGTCGCAATATTCTATGTTGAAAAACACTATAAACCTCAAACACAGTATTGATATTTCGAAATATCATAAGTTACTAGCTTATCTGAAGAGGCAAGCAGAAAATTATGTGCCAAAGAAATCAAGAATTCTAACATCCCAAGATTTATTAACTAAGGTAAGTTTTAGATTTATTAAAAGTATAAAAATATCTAATCAAGTTTTTTAATTGTTAGGCCGTAGTTGCTGTTGGCTTAGCCGGAGCTTGTAGGCGAGGGAATTGTGCCAGATGAAAATCGATGATATGCAAGATCTAAAGTCAGCTTTCTTAGTTAAAATCAGACATACTAAAAATAAGATACCTCGATCTTTTACTAAAACAGGAAGATTTTATGATATTTGTAGAGAATATGCTAGTCTGTGGCCTCCTAATATTACAGAAAAGAGATTTTTCTTAAATTACAAAAATGGAAAAAGCACGAAACAGATAGTAGGAATTAATAAAATCGGAAGTATAGCTAAAGAAATAGCAACTTTTTTAAAACTACCAAACCCCCAGGAATATACTGGCCATTGTTTTCGTCGATCATCGGCTACAATGTTAGTTAATGCAGGTGGCGATTTGCTAACCCTCAAACGCCATGGAGGATGGCGTTCTAGCACTGTCGCTCCGGGATACATAGACGATTCCGTACAGAATAAAATTGAAATTTCCAAAAAAAAATGTCGGATCAGTAAATCCTTCTGATCATAATTTAGAAGAAAGCACATCAGATAACCAGCTACACAAAATACATCCTTTTGATCCTCAGTATTCTGAGCCATCTTGTTCAAACGAAAAAAACATAACTATAACTGAAAATGTGTTGAAAGGGCAGGACTGTCATACAATAAATTTTAAAAATTGTTCTAACATAACAGATAATTACAATTTCAAATAAAACAACAGGGAAGACTATTAATAAGCGAATAAAAATTGTTTTTTCATTGTTGTTATTGTTCATTGTTGTTATTATTCATTGTTGTAAATATATGTAAATATGTATGTATAACTGTATGGTTATAAATAAATATAAATCAGTTCTAGTCGTTTGAAATAAGATTTGCTTTACTAACAATAATACCATTAAAAATATATGATAATAAAGTGGCAGCCTAAGAATAATTTTTGCCCAGTTTTATAACTTAAAACGAATTAATAAAGCGATAAAACGATTTTAATAATTATTTTGAAGGTCAATAATTTTGGAAAATGTTTTTATATTTAGGTTCAATTCTTATAAAAAATAGTAGATTTAAGTTTATACGGATCGATTCCA